ACTTTAGGGCAGGATGCATTACTGATTCACAGCTCTTTCTTTCACAGTTCTGAGATGCCTGGGAATTCCCACTAGGGTTGTCACAGGCTTCACATGGGCTCACAACACTAACAGCAACCCTAATGTGAACGAGTATTATGATGAAGATGGGACGCTGCTTACACCTGACAAGAGCGCCCGTATCTGGTAAGGAAACAAGGCAGGGCCCAAGGAACAGTTGGAGACAATATCCAGGTCTAAGATGTGACAGAGGGAAAAAGGAAAACAGCTGCAGGGAGGTTTATAAGATGTAGAACAGCTAAGATCCAGTCTACATGACTCGTTCTTGAGAAATTCCAGCAACCAGAAGTTTTTTCCCACCAAGGACAGCCCATCCCACCTGGAGAACCTCCATTACATCAAAAACTGTGGTCACTGCTGCTCCCATGTGCTGGGCTCTTCTAAAGAAGTATTAATTAACTGTGCTTTGGCTATAAGTGTCCTGTACCACAGGGCTCAGTGCCTTGTTATAAACACGCTGTGCCTCTCACAGGACTTTCCATGTTTGGAACGAATGCTGGATGGCTCGAACAGACTTGTTACCAGAGTACAGCGGATGGCAGGCACTGGATGCCACCTGCCAGAAGAAAAGCAAAGGTAAAGTATTAAAGAGAGAGATGGAGAAAAAGGGAGCAAATAAAGCAGTGGGATCCCTCCCTCAGCTTCCACTGAGGGGATGCATTAAGGGAAGGAGGCACTCTGAGGGCTGTATGCACCAAATCATCATTGACCCGTTTGGTTTGTGAGCTTGTAGAGCTCTAAAAGGATCCATTGAAGCACAACACTTAACATACCACTCTCTATAGTTGTCTAAGTTTACACTAAGCATGGGCCTAGCTGGCAAAGCATCTGATTCTTAACTGGGCTGTGTTTTCTCTTCAGGCCCTTCATTTTGTGGGCCAACTCCTGTTCAGGCCATCAAGGAAGGGGACATAGAAGTGGATTATGATGTCTGCTACTTCTTTGCTGCCATGAATGCCAAGTGCAAGGTCTGGATACACAAAGCAGATGACATCCTCAAGCCAGCTTTCATCTGCACAAAGTATACTGGCAACAACATCAGCACCAAGAGTGTGGGCAGTGAACGCTGTGAGGATATCACACACAACTACAAATATCCTGAAGGTATGAGGTGGACAAATGTTTGAGCACATTCCCTGACCATGTTCCAAGTGAAGGGTAAATAACTACAGAGCAGAGCCATACCAGAACAGCAGGGACATCCACTTCTCACTACCTCCCCTTCCTGAATGGGGCAACAACATCTGACTTTGGCTGTGTACAGAACCAAAGTACGGGTCGTATTTCAGTTTCGTCCTGCTTAATTACCAGCTCGCTAGGACAGGCACTCTCCTGTCTGAAAAAATCTCCTTTCCTGACTTCTGTTACCTGCACATTAATTTCCCATTACCCTTATATCACATTTCATACTCCAGCTTTCTGTACTCCTAGACATTGTCTAAATCCGTCCCTCAAATAGCAGCTCTTCAGAATCTATTACTGTGTTCTATTTACCTGACACAGCCCCACCATCTCATCTTTTTCTATGGCATGCTGCCTCCTGGTTGCAGTCCATCGCAAGACAACACAGTACCACTCCATAGCTACGGTTACAAAGAGAAAATCTTTTCTTACTCTGACATTTATTAGCACCAAAGTGCTCAAAAACTATGAGAAGTCTTTTCAGACACAACCAATCTCCTCGCAGCTGAAATTCTTGGTCCACTTCAACCAAAGCACAAGGTATTTCTCTGCTATGAGCAACAGTTGTCTCCAATACAGTTCGGATAATTCCACTCTTTCTACATGTAGTGCTTTACAACTACTAAACAAGAAAGAATATTAAAATGTGCTTTTCTTTTTGGCGACAGGCTCTCTTCAAGAAAAAAAAGTACTTGTCAAAGCCTACAGAAAGATAAAGACACTTCAGGCAATCAGCAGCAGGAGAGAGATTATCTCTGTTCCTCCTGCCCATGAAGAGCTTTTTATCCACCTCCAGTCCAAGAGTTCTCCAATACTGGGACAAGATATTCCACTTTCCATTGAAATGTTTAACTATAGTGGTAGAGAAAAGGCTACACACCTGGTACTTGGAATTCAGTCTCTACATTATAATGGTGTTCCCATTATGCAACTTTGGAAGGAAAAGTTTAATTTTATCATCAGAAACAATGAAGGTAAGGGCTCTGCTAAGGCTGAATTAGTGCATCCAATCCTCTCACTTCAGAAAAATGCACTTAGCTATAAGTAAGAAATATTGGATGGAAAGCCAAATGTAGGCAATCCAAACAAATCACCTTTGTAGGGAAAGAGGAAAATAACTGCAGCATGTTAGGTGGATCATTTTCACTTGGGCTTTTAAATGCAGTTTTCAGTACATTGTTGGGTGGTGCAGGCTAAGAACATAATATCAGTTGCACTGTTATCTGTATTTCACCACTCTATTCCAGTTAAAACCCTGCAAGTCTTTGTGCCTTACTCACGGTATGGAAAAGAGCTGGGAGAGAACCGTCTGCTTAGGCTGACTGCCACGCTGAGAGATGAGGACTCCTTCTACATATACTTTGCACAAGAAGAGATTAGCATCTGTGACCCGCCTCTGACTATTGAGGTTAGATTGGTCTATCATTCTGTTATTGCAGTGGTGAGATAAGAGTTTTTGTAGTTATGAGCAGCAGAAAAATTCTACTACATTGAGTGGCTTTCCTCATACTGTCTTCTTTCAAAGCACTAAAATAAGAATTTGTGAAAAGTGAGTTGTATTGCACTGTTATATAGAGTATTTCTCCTATTTTTACCTTGCATATGTGCAAAAATAAATAAATCCAGGTAACCCCTAACATGGTCATGAGTCCACAAGTCAGAAGGAGAAAGCTACAGAAGAACACTGCAGTGGTGAAGAAAGCTGGACTTTGTGTCTTCTGGCAACTGGCAGCTCAGGCTGAGACCTCTGGCAACAAAATTCAATTATCTCTCTTTAATTACAGAAGTTTGTCTTTCCTCCTCTGAGTTTCAGCTCACTGCTTTCTTTCAACAGTTTCCAGAAAATGTGGTACTGTACCAGCCATCCACAGTGAAGGTCAGCCTCCTGAATCCTCTCACTGAACCCCTGGAGAAGTGTGTGATAGTGGTTGGAGGACGAGGGCTCATTTACAGACAAAGGAAGTACAGGTGAGTGCAAACTGAGCAGTTAAACAGAAAAACAAACAACACAAGCCAGAGAAATCCTTGCCCTGGAAAAGCTGTCCATCAGAATAAACAGGCAGCATCATGGTAGGAAGAGATCATTACAGCTGAAAGACCCAGGCGTTCCCTTACTTAGGGATAATACATAAGATTTTCACACTGAAAAAGAGAACAGATAACTTTCAACAGGCCTTCCCATTATCTGCTGAAGAACCAAACAAATCTGACTTAAGTCAAGTTACCCAAACGCAAATATGCTTCTCAACTTGAAAAAGCAACATTTCTCTCAAGAAACTGCATTAGGACAAATTACACTTAGATATTTCCATGGGGAACTCAACCCTCATATTTCCCTCCCAAAGCTGTTTTTATCACAATCCCATTCTGGTGGTTTCAGTGACCATTTAACTTTTTCTATAGACCCTCCTATTTTATTTTATTTTTGGCATCATAGAATTGTAGAATGGCCTGGGTTGAAAAGGATCAGAATGATCACCTAGTTTCAACCTCTTTGCCACAGGCAGGGTCACCAAGCACCAGACCTGGCTGCCCAGAGCCACATCCAGCCTGGCCTTCAATGCCTCCAAGAATGGGGCATCCACAACCTCTTTGGACAACCTGTTCCATTGCATCACCACCCTCTGAGTGAAAAACGTCCTCACATTCATCCCTCACAAATGCATCTCCTATGGCCAGGAACTAGAAATATAAAGAGGTGTACTTTCTATATAATGCCTTCTTACCTTTCAGGCTGGGTTCTGTGCAACCTAACAGCACTCAAGACTTGCATATCTCATTCACACCTACTGAAACAGGGCCAAGAAGACTCACTGCACGCCTTACATGCCTTCAAATCCAGAACCTGAAGAGCTACAAAACTATCAATGTTGCAGCTGCATGATGTCCGATTTAGAACAGCTTCTGCTATCCTGTTTACAAGGGTGGCCATGATCTATGCCCTGACCTTTGGTGAGCACTGATACTAAAAACTTAAATAAAATCATATTTATAATCCCACCTATCACTATATTCACTCTCGGGTCTGGGAAGCTGAACTTTATTGTGAAAAAGATTGGCAATGTGCTCAAGCAGATACCGGGTTTCTGTGTGCATTCCTGCTGAACACACCAGTGCTTAGTCATTCTTTCTCTCCAGCAAAAAAAAACAAACAAGAACATCCTGTAGAACTTCAAAGTGACAGATGTAGCACTCCTCTAGAGAAATACTCTTTATCTCCTACAGATTTTTGAAGTTGGTAATACAATAGGTATTTTCTACCACTTTCTTAGGGAATAGAAGAGAGGAATAGCATGCACTCCTCTTTAAGATTAGACAGAATATAGTACTTTTTCTTTTTAACACTTCCTTTGGCTGACTGCAAGAGAATGGAGATTCTTTTCTTCTGCATATATTCTCTGCCACATGAAAATAGATGCAGCTAACGACACAAATCTAGCAATATTTTATTGTTCTCTGAACCCCACAGTAGCTGTAATGTCTGAGAAACAGAACATATTCACAGCATTAAAATGAAGCACTACACCATCCCAAGAGTCCAAGCAAAATGACATCTTCTGCAACTGCAGAGAGGGATTTTCTGGGCAAGTTCTGCCAGGCAGCAGTAAAGTTCCCTCTTAAAAACACTGTCCTCATAATTCTCCCTGTAGCTGGAGAATGGCCAGATTCACTGGAAAAGCATATATCAGAGCTAGTGGCAGTAACACATGCGGACACAGAAGAGCTAAAGTTCACCCTGTGTGAAATTCTTGATTTTGTCCATGTTGTGATCTACTGCACCTGTTAGAAACTGCACCCAGCCTTCTTCTGATGGTGGACATACATGGCTTGTCCTGCAAAAGTGGAGGAAATTCATTAGGAAAGCCTCCTGGGGGTTTTTATATTTATGTATCCAAAAATCCCCCCAACACATTGGTATTGTGAAGTGCTGAATTACTACAGTATTAAAATAGGACTTCTGTAACCCCACAGTGCTTGAACAAGGAAGAACCCACGTCCTTATCTCTAGTTTCAAACCTTGACACATACGTCCATCTTCAGCAGTAACCTCTTTCATTCCTGCCATCCTCTTCCTATTGCGTTGTGTCTGGGTAACATCAGAATTACACCAGTATGACAGCATTTGCTGTCTACAAGTGAATCATCTTTGACAGGAGGTAGAGATATTAACCTTCACAGCAGCAAACACATGCTCATAAATTGTAATTCATACTCACTTTGTAATCTCTAAGACTTTCTTTAATACTGAGGCCAATTTAGCAGCCTACAAAGAAAGAAAAGGGAAATAAGTAAGCTTAACATGGAAAAAAAAAAAAAAGGGGGGGGAGGGGGGGAAACCCAGCATTAACTGGAAAGAAAGGGGAGGTGCAGAGATGATTAATGTAGCCAAGAATAAGTAAAACTGCCAAAGGCTCTGATGCAAAAGGAAGTCACCTAACACTGGCATGGTGGGATTATCTCCAAATCTGTCGCTGTCTGGGACAGGTAAAAATAAAGATGTTTCTTAAAGTATACTTTAAAATGTTGGTGGTTTTGTTTTTGTTTTTTTCTTTAAAAAGATAAATCTATTAGAACAAAAAGGCATGAAGTTTTAAGTAACTGACTGTATTGCAAGTTGATAATAGGCAATACACCATAAGAAAAAAAATTTCAAGCCACTCGTGAACGTATGAAACCAGAATTAAACATTTCAGGTATGAGAAAGTATATACTTATCTAGGTTGGAAGGGACCCCTGGAAGACACCTGAGTGCAACCTCCTGCTCAAACCAAGGCAAATCTAAGAGTTCAGTCAGCTTGCTCAGAGCCTTGACCCCTAGAGATTTTGAGTATCTCCAAAGATGGAGATTCCAGTGCCTTTCTGAGCAACTTTTTTCACTTAAACGAAGCATGTGCTCAACGATGCTGTGAGGATTTTTAATTTATTTCTTGAATTAAGATCACTTTATTTGAACAAATCTAAATTGCCCAGAGAGAAAAAGTAGATGTACAGTACACTGGCAGCCCTAGACCTCACTTTCCTGAGTAACGTCATTGGACATCTCTATGGATCATACTTTAGAGCCAACACAAGAGAAGACATCCTCTTCCCTGAAGTAAAGATGAAGAATACACTTCCACCTGAAGGTAGCTAAGTGTACAAGAGAACCAAAAGATTCTTCATGCCTAAGAACTTATTATAGAGACAGCAGTAAATCCTCTCTCTGAAAGACATAATTCCCCAAATTCAATTTCCTCCCCTTCTTTACAGCCAAGTGAATAGATCCACATGCAGGCTGCAAAAACTTACATTGAGTCGCACGGCCAGATGGTTCATAGGTGGGTACATGCTCAGTGCCAGCTCATCAACGCTAGAATAGAAGACAGGGGTGCAATGGACGAAAATCCCAGCTGCACAATCCACAGATTCTGGTCAAATCCTATATCCACCCTCAATGCAAGTCAAGTATGGCATGACAAGGAGACAGCATTGGTTATACCCATGGAACACTTCACAACGCCTCCTCATGCGTCTGTGTGCAACTCTCACCTTATTTCTAGTCATAGTCACAACTCCACTCTAAGCAGCAGCACATGTTCCTTTCCTGACATGCAAAACTCTCAACAGCCTATGATAAAACAGTCTTCATATTTGTTTCCACCACCTGGCCACAGCTTAAGTATCAGAAAGGTTTTTCCAGTCCGTATTCTAGACCTCAAGTAAAACAGGGACTACTCCGAAGCACAAAGAAGCATTTCTGCTGCCAGATTCTGTTAATTCCAGTAAGAAAAACTAATCAATGACTCCAGTTCAACAGAGCAAACTGCAAGAACCTGGCAGACATTCCCATTCTTACATCAACTTAAAACCACAAACACAGTTCAGGAGGTTGCTTACCTTGGACTGATCTCATTAGCAATGTCTGCAAGGTCATCCAGCTGAGCAATCTGCTCTGGAGAGTCAGCTTTTCCATAAGCCTTCACTACACTCAAGACCTTCTTTAGGCAAGCTTTAGAAGCCTTCATTAATCCCATGCAGGAGCCAAGCAACTTCCGGTCAGCTTCTGACCAATAGGTATCTCTGTTACCCCGAAAGCCGAGCTCCTCGTCTTCTATGATATCACTGTAGGGGTCTCGTTCTTCCACCAGAGCCTGAGAACACAGATGCATTGAAAACCTATAGCCTAACATCCATTCCAGCAATATCCAGGAGCATAAGTAAAACATGGTCTAAAAATCACACAAATAATTTGTGGAGGAACCTCTCTTCAACCAGGCATCTCTGCTGCCAGGCTCTGTTCACTCCAGTAAGACTGGATTAAGAAAAACTAAATACTGACTCCTGTTCAATTTGGCAAACTGCAAGAACCTGGCAAACAGTCCCATTCTTACATCAACCTAAAACCACAAACACAGTTTAGAACATAGCTTCCATGAAGCTCTACGTAAGCTAAACCAGATCCAGGTTTAAAAACCTCAGTAAGATACAGGCATAAGATGCTCTTACTCATAGTAGAACCTATCTAAATCAAAGCCTGTAAACAATCCTTGTGTTCTTTCAGAGAAATCACTGCAGGTTCCTCAGTAACTTAAGGGTGTCCTTACATTTTCCATCTCTTCCACAGCATCCTTGACCACACCTAGAAATGCAGACAGAGCTGACACAACTGCTGCCTGGTTATCTGTAAAAGGAAAAGTAAAGAAAACTGTAGCACTGCAGTGATTCAAATCTGCTTGCACCAACGTTCACCTATATTTGCAGCCATTAGATCTTGAGATCATAGGATCAAATTTTTTGCAAAGCTCAGAGCTGTACTGTATTGCTTTACAAATAATCAGAGCAGATTTCCACACTTCAGAGAACAGCAGGGTTTTGAGGAATGAGTAAGCCTCCACTGTACTGCCTAAAATGCCCCTCTCAAGCGTTACCAATATTTTGAGATCACACATCCTAGTTCCATTGGTCTGCATACACAGTACTCACCTCGTGGCAGGCTGGACACTTGCTCACATGCCTCCCACACACCACCAGTTGATATAAGTTGCTCCTGAGATGAGCTGAAACAAATCAGAGGCTCTCAGAGTTAGACACTATAACACTATACACTGCTAGGCTGTTTTATTTTTGTGCACACTATAAGGGGCTCAGCTGAGAAAATGGCAAACTAGCTTGTCACTGGTATTTCACAACCACACAAAGCACGAGATGCTTTCATAAATCCTACTGAGTTTAGTTACTAGTTGGAAAAAGAAGCAGGAGTTTCTTACAAAGACCTCTCAAGGTCCTTAGATGTTATTTTTTAACTTTCAGTATTTATCAAAATCAGAAGAGACAGCTGACCTCTGCCTAGAGAGAATGGAATTAATCAGTAAATACAGAGGCTGCATAATATTTCCCCTGAAAGACTGTGGTCCACTAACTAGCTACAGAGTCACACAATTACCATCACCATTCCCTTCACAAGCAAGAATTGCCAAACAGTATAAATAGTATCAAGCACCATCATGGAAATCCCACTTCCAGCATTTTTCCTTGCCACAGACAGGATGAAAAATCTCTTCTCTACCTAAGCAGATGCACTTGAAGAATGCTAGAAGTGAGACCCAGCTCTTCCTTACCATAGGATATGCTTTTACCAAGGGTCTCTCACTAGGTCCTGCTCATGCTACATCACAGCTGTGTTGCAGCCACATTTGTCCCTGGTGTTGATTCCTTGATTCCAACCTGAATCCAGACCTGCTGTCTTGACTTATGGCTTGACCTCAGACCCAACTAATTGCAATGGATGAGCTGGGCAACCACTGGATGACGTGTAATGCCATTAAAATTTCCAAACCCAATTCTTATTTTGTTGTTACAGTTTGATACTGCTGCTATGGGCTTGACAGATGTCAACACCAGCACTGTTCTGTTCAATCAGATATTGGAGGACAGGTCCCTTGTCGGTGAGTCTGCTGCCTTTACCTGCCTGATAACAATGCTCAGTTCCTGCCTTCCCACTTCCCTTATGAGTGCAGTCTACACTTGCTGCTCCTTAGTGAGTATATTTGCAACTTTTCTTCTTGCTGAAAAAGTACTACCTCCCCAATGGAGAAATAAGAATTGTTTCTGTGAGCTGGATCATTCCCTCCAATACTTCAGTGGTAGCATCTCGTACCATCTTCCGAAGTGTAGTACCTGGTTGAGAAACAGCAAGTATGTTTCTAAGAGGGAAAAAACTAACATAGATGAATAGACAGACTTGCAAAAACACACAGTATAAATAAAGTTAGAGAAACAATATATATTGCCTAAATTCTAAAGTTCTAAAAGACTTTAGACGGAGATTTCAACACTTTATAAACAGGAATGGTTGATAAACTATACCACTTCCTATACTATCATTTATTGATAGATGTAAATCACCAAAAGTAAATTGCCAAATTCATTCACAATCATGCTGCAAGTCTATAGAATAGCTGACAAGACATTGCTGATGTTAACTTGTTTTCCTGTGTAGACCAAATCTATGATGCTGTGAAATACCGGGTTTCTTTACATCATGGTGAAAGAACTGTCCTGCCATCACTCTCTCACCTTGGCCCTTGGGGAGCCAGTAGTACACTGTGGCAACTGCAAGAATGGCATTTTGGACATCTTCACTCAGCTTTTGACAATTCTGAAAATGGGTAGGCAGAAGGATTAACTAGGAACATCACACGGCTACAGTGCATTTAGAAATCCTCAAAAGAAATCATTTAAGTCTACATTATTTGTAAGAAAAAGGAAGAATAGTCATGATTACAATAACGGAGAAACAAACAAGAAGAAGAGACAGTATGTTTCTATGAAACCTAAAAGCACAGAAGAGGATAATTTGCTAGAGCTGCAAGCTCACTGTATATATCAGGAGTTGATATACGCTGTATGACCACCACACCCTGGTTCAAGGAAGGTGAAGAGAGGAAAAAACAGCTTAATTATTCTCAAATCGAGGTGCTTATTTTATCCTTCCTCAAACATACAGTGTTAATATTCTCTTAATTAACAGAAAACTTAACACCATTCATTGTTAAGAGAAAAGATCTATACTGCCCAATATCTCATCTTCATCAGCAATCAGTTATAGAAGCTCAAGAAAAAAGATCTAAGAAAACATCTCCTAACTTACATAAATTAGTTTTCAAGGCAATTCTTGAATTTGATTAATACACATTAAAAAAAAACCGAAACAATTCACATGAATTGTCCCTTTTTTATGCTGACTCCAATAACTTTGTTTTAGTCAAATGAACTGGGAGATACCTCAAAGTTCTCCCACAGACAGCAATTTCCAGTTCTGTGGGAGGTTTTTACTAACCTCTGCAGAAGGCAGCGGAGGCCTCGAGAATGCTAGACTAAGCTTTGTAGCTTCCTGTGATGTTGCCTTGAATGCTTGACCTAGACAGGATATTGTGGGGAAAAAGAAATTAGAAATCCTCTCAGGTAAATGCCAGCAGAATGGTGTAAGTAGATTAGCAGTGTCTTCTCAGCCACCACTATTTCTTATTTCTGAGCATGAAAAAAACATGAACTAAATTACACTGCAAAAGAAAATTTCCCTGTAGCTTTTGCACCACACACACTGCATGTATAAGACATGTGATCACTGCCAGCTTTTTACTTAGCTGGTACTGCTGTCCACACCCACATCCATCTGCTCCAGCACCTTCACTAGAACGTTCCATAAGGCTTTAAGAGATCAAATGCTTTAAAAACATGAAACAGCTTTTGCAACTACACTCTTTACTACTTTACAACACCAGCGGGACTAGAGCCGAGAGGGAGTGCAAAACCCCCGGCTGAAGACCCGTTTGCCGGGGATTCCACCTGCAGCTCACTGCTCTGCTGCGGACCAGTCCAGCCGCGGCCCAACGCCTCTACCCCACCCGGCGGCCAAGCCCAGCACGGTACCCTCGGTGCCAGCCCGCTCCCCGGCCCGTACCTAGCGCGTCCCAGAACCGCGGAGGCTCGAACGGCTCACGGCCTTCGCCCGGTTCGCCCTCTGTAAATGCAGACAAAAGGTCTCAGCCTGCGGAAAGCCGGCCCAACTTCTGGCCCGACGTCCGTTTCTGCCCCAGCCCGGCCCCGACCCCCACCTCTGACCCGTGCCAGCACCGCGCGCAGCGAGCCGCACAGCTCCTGCAGCAGCTCCCGTGCCTCCATGCCTGCAGGAGCACCCCGCGCGCTCCGGCACAGCTGGACGTCAGCCGCGGCACAGCAGCCCGTCGGCTGCAGTACGTCACATCCGCTTCCGGTAGCGCTTCCCGTCGGCTGCGGTACGTCACACCAACTTCCGGCACGGCTGCCTATCGGCTGCTGTACGCCACATCCGCTTCCGGAGAGCCGTGCAGAAGAGGCGGCTCCGCCCCCTTAGGAAAACCCTACTGGTTACGCGCGCTACCCCTGCACGGAAGGACGAGGTTTGGCACGGAGCGCGGAGGTGTGCGTTTTATTGATTACACAGGCAGCAGCGAGCAGCCGAGGAACGGGAGGGGAGGCCAGAAACGTTGCCAGAGAGGCAGCTACAGCAGGCGGTGGAGATCCTGGAAGTTGAACAGGTTGTTGGCTGTCTCGGACCAGGCTGCGTGGGTCGCTCCGTCCATCTCAGAAGCAAGGCTGTTCGTGCTGTCCAGAGCGTGGTTTGCGCCCCCGATGACCGCGTGGCATTCGGGGCACGTGCTCCTCTCCATCGCCCCCCCACAGTCCCCAATTACGTAGACGTGTCCATTTTGGCATTTGAACCAGTGACCACGTGGGTAGCCGATAGCGCTGACAATCTGCACTCGCTCAGCGTCAGTGATCCCCAACCCCGACACGGGCAGGGCAGCGTCGATGCGCTTCAGCTCAGCTTTTACTGTAGCCTCTTCCTTTTCTGTGAACCTTTTTGTCCCTTCCAAGATTCCACGTAACGTGGCAATCCTTGTCGCAAGGGTCGTAGTGATCATTTCGCTTGTGCCTTTACACCTTGACAAGAGGTTGTGTAGATAGGTCAATCTCTGGATCTCAGCCTGCAGATCCATGAGCTCCTGCTTTGTAAAACTGAGGCGTGGCTTATCCAGCCACTCCTGGACTTCATCTAGACGCTTTTTCAGCCCTTTTTGCTCTTTTGTATCAATTTTGCTAAGGGAACTGGTTAGGTCAGCTATACGTTCATAGAAGTTAAGCTGATTCTCAATTGCTCCAATGCTCTTTATGGAAAGATCAGAGGCTTTTAGTTTATCCTCCAACATGAGGTACTTACTTTGTAGGTTCCTCTTCAGAACACTCTTACTTGTGAGCACAGCCTGCAATCTTTGTCTGCTTGACTCGATTTCCCGTGCTGGGCCTTGGATTTTCTCTTTCACCTTCTCTATCTCAACCAGATGCTTTTTCACAATGGTGCCATATCTCAAACTCTTTCTGACTGGTGTCTGACAGGTAGGGCACACCTTCAGCTTGATGACATCATCATCTTCATCCATATAATGATCAAGGCCCTGAGACTCAAAGATGTGGCCACAATCTTCAAGCTGTACAAATCGTGCATCCTCATCATCCTCAAAGCCAAAAAAGATCTGGGTAACCTCCTCATGGTCACAAACAAGGCACTTCTTTGGGCAAGGCTCTCCACAGAATCCAATACAAGGATGACCACAGTGCAGCAGCTTAGTACATGGTACATTGCATCGAGGCCTATTGCATGGTTCATGGCAAAGATTGGTACACTGGTAGTGCTGGCACCGCCACTCACATGGTTCTGCGCATGGAGTACAGCACTCTCCGCATTTCTTCTTACATCTGCTGTGGACACAGTGGTTCTGACAGTCAAGCTGACAGGGAGGGCATTCTGTAGTACAAGGCTGCTGACACCTGTGGGAGCAGATCAAGAAGCGCTTGCATGGGCTCTTACATGGCTCATGAAATCTTCCTCCAAAGCAGGTGTGACAGGAACCTGTGCATTCATGACCACACTCCAGTTTGACAGAACACTTAGCCATACATTCAATAGGTTTCTGATGTTTCATCTCGTCAGCGATCCAACACTGAATTTTCTGGCTGTGGCCACATGGCAGAAAGACTGTAACCAGTTCAGGACACCGAGTAGCACATTCCTGCCCACAGTATTTGTTGCATGTATGCCCACAGTTTAACTTTTTCTGGCAAGGTTCTTGGCAAATAAACTTGCTGTCTGGACAAGAGCATGGCATCATCTGCAGGTGACCACATTTAGAGACAATTTTCTCTACTATTACCATACATGGTCCACATGGCTCATAACATAAGCGTGGACAGCGGTGCCCCTCTGTACAAAGCACCTTCTGACAAGGCTTCAGACACTGATACTTTTTGTGCTGTACATCATATGGGTGGCATGCTCTTGTGCAAACATGTCCACAGTCCAACCTAAATTCACAGGGTTGAATACAGCCTCCTTCTGGGACTTTGCTGAAGTCTGCTGCTGTAGATACGAGAGTCATGGTCTCAGGGTGATTTTGACAGCAAAGCGTCAGTGAGCGGCCAATGTTACCTTTCTCTCTCAGTGTGTGAATGATCTTGCTCCAGAGAGGAACCTTGCCCATCATTTTCATATTTCCAATACAGTACAGACCTTTCTTAGCTCTGGATAGGGCTACACATATCCGATTAGAGATCTGCAAGAACCCAATTCTCTCCTCTTTGTTACTCCGCACAAGTGACAGCAAAATAATATCATTCTCCTCTCCCTGGTACTTATCCACTACGTAAACCTTCACACCTGCAAAAGTCTTGGCTGGCATGAGTTTGCGTAAACAGAAAAGCTGCCCAGTGTAGGTAGTGAGAATGGTGATCTGAGAAGGTTGATAATCCTGACACAAGAAGTATTTGCAAAGTTCCACCACAAACTGCGCCTCATGTATGTTCTGATGGCTTCTCCCTTCCTGGATGACTTGCTCAGGAAAGTCATGCTCCACAAAGAAAAGGTTAGATAAGACCCCCTGAAACAAGAGAAAGAGAATCTTAGAAACAGAATTCTACTTGTCACTACAGCCTGTTTCCATGTTCCTGACTATCCACTAAAATGGCTGCTCTGCTAAAGGAGCATGCAATATGTGGTTAGTGCACACTGGGGCAATTTCTTTTGATGTCTATAACATATTCATCAGAAGTGACTAAACTTGTCAATGGTATTTCAGCTTATTAGGGACATTTCATTATCTTAACATGACATCAGGCCCCCGAATCCGATTGTATTCCTTACCTTTTTCTGAGTTATTTTTACAATACATTTTCTGGTTATGCAAAATCAAAAATTTGGTTCTACTAACATTTTCCATATCACCACAGTTCTATTTTACTTTCATTCTATTTTACGTTCAAGTTGTGAAACAGTGCACGGTTTAGCACTTGCCTAAAACTGAATAGCAAAAATCCCATCTCCATTGCTGCAGTGGAAAGAGGAAAAAGGCAAGAAGGCCTGACTTTCCATGAAGAAGGCTTCAAACATTAGGGACTCCATCACTCACCAGCTCCAGCTGTATACTGATAAAGTGCTCAAACAAAGAACTCTCCAGAGCAGGATTCCAATAACAAAGTCATCTGTCTTACACTAGAACTACACAAATTATGCCTCAAGTCTCAATATTTATTCCTAATTTTCAATTTCCTAATTTTTTTTTTTTTAATCCTTTTTCCATTTTTCACTGTTCTTTTAATAAATCATCAATATTGGATCCATTTCCAATGTCTACGATCAGCAATACCAGAAGAACTACAGATTACTTGCCTAATTCTATATCCTGCATTTCCCTGGATCAGGTATTAATTTCAGTAGCTAAATCTGATGTGAGAAGTTTAAATCCTTTAACACTGCATTTTACAGAAACTTATTTTAACCAGTAATGGGGCAAGAAAAAGTGCTTGGACTACTGAAAACTCACTTTTATGTTCTCATACTTCAAGACTGAAGGATGGTTTTCCAGATTCTGGTAAATATGAGGACTGAGAAGCTGGGCAATTTCAGGACGCATGCGGTGCTGAAACACAAAGCAGATCTATTGGTCTTGAGGAAGGAGCACCCTGTTTCCCTGCTAAGAATCTGTTTTTCTATTGTACGTGTCATTGTTGAATACAAGACAAAGGTGACTTTTCAGTAAGACTCGAGAAGGCAACATCTCCCATCCCAGCCCTGCTGCCACTACCAGCTATCACAGGTGAGTGGTAGCCCAGTAACATTTAGCAAGGCTGTTGTAATAAGAATGCTGGTTTCAGTGCAAATCTAAGAACAAAAGCATTCTAGAGAATAAGAGCTTACACCTCATTCTAGCCAACTCTTTCAGGCTGTTTTACTATAGGACTGCTGGAGGTAGAATTAACTTCTCCAAGTACCAGGAAATAATGGTTGGAGCAGTTTAACAGGAAGCAGCCCAAAAAGATTTGCTGTCAGCCTCCACAGTCCTGGAACAATTTTATATGCCTCAATAGGTCATGTTTGTTGCTCTAAGAACTGGGAGAACCACAGTGCTGTGAGTCACATAACTGAATAAATCAGACATATAGACATAACATACGATTTCAGTTTGGTAGCTCTGACCATTCTTTTCAGGAATGAAGTAGCACATTCTTTTATTTTAGACTACTCTGTGAGTAGAAATATAAAAGCTTAAATGTACTATAAATTTTAAACAACCTAAGTACAAATGCAATAAAGAATGTTTTATATCTGTTCCTTACTTGGTATTTTAGGCATACAAAGGGGAAATCAACTTTCACCAGTCGTTCAAAGAGAGACACTTCCAGATTGAAGTTCTTTGCCAGGTCATAAACATTGGCACTAGGCTGCAGCTGGAAAAGAAGGGATAAGAGTATTTTTACAGCATTAATCCTATGTATTAGTAAGATATTTTTTTCCTATTGATCTCTTTCTATTACTGGTTTCCAGTCAAAAGGCCAGAGACATGATTCTTGCAGAAGTGCTAAACAGCAAAGTTGGGTGCTGTGTTAACTAACGTGGATTCAAGCACACGTCAAATTGTGTCCTTCAGTAAACTAAAGGATAAATCCCACAGGAACTCTACTCTATAACCAAAGGAGACAGCACCTGTGGTATCCATGGAGACTGGTGAGCAGTATATTTTGGCAACCCTTCACGTTTGGTGTTTGGTAAAAAGGTTCTACTTGATTTGCACAAAAGTCAGAGGCATCTGTCACGAATATTACCTGCTGGTGATCTCCAATGAGGATGAGATGCTGGCAGGCTTTACTAAGAGTAGTAATAGTGTGAGCCTCAAGCACTTCTGCTGCCTCTTCCACAATTACAATTTGTGGCTCTACTTTCTGCAAGATCTGACGGTATTTGGCAGCACCTGGACAAAGACAGAAGATAAGCCTTAGTAAATGCAATTA